TAAAAGCTTTTATTTCAGTAACAAGGACGTTTTCAGTTCTGAAACTTACAAGATATTCTTTTAGTACGATGATCTCTTATATATCAAAAGCTCAAGTAAAAGTTGATTTCTCAATTCATGACCCCTTTTTTATAAATCGGTATGTTTGAACGAATCGCTGGTGCTTCTCTTAAAAAATGGACATTAATGAGCCAAATTTGTCAAATTTTAAGATATTGTTAAGATCTTTTGTTAAAGTTTTGAGAAGATGTGTAGTTTTTGATCGATACAGGTTTTTCTGTGCCTGATATTGCTATAGAAAGTGCTGTGTCTCTGAATTGCTGAAATGACAAAGCAAAGCAAGGTCTGAAAAACGTGAGATTTCAGCAAAAGCGTCAATTGCCTTTCCATTTAATCTGATTGCCGTTTAGGAGAAACAATTGATGTATTCAAGAGATCTCATTTGTGGTTTTCTTTCTGAAGAATGAATGTGGCATTCAGGATTTTTTAGTGCTTGCTACTATTGTAGATGTTGTAATTCCAGGCACTTTCTGGCAAAATGTTATTGTCACGATTGACATTATTTGTGCAGGAGAGCAATTAGTTCACTATTGATAATTAAGCAATCACATTAGCATAGAGGACTGAAAGATGAAGATTGTGTTGAATAATTTTGAGCTGATTTTTTTTTTCATATTGTTACTTTCAACTGGGAGGCAATTTCACTAAATGTCAAGCACCTCTTTTCTGTCATTTATGGCGCATAATTATAATTCTCATTATGGTGATGTAAAGCAAAAAGTACAAACATGCTTTTCCATAAGCGTTTTTGTGTACTTTGTTGTTTTTCCTCAGTACAATATAGCACAGCCTCAAGTGCCTAATTGCTTTGATTTAAAGGCTACTGCACAATAAAAATATAAGGGACAACAATAATGTTATGTTATGTTATCAATAAAAGCTTTTATTTCAGTAACAAGGACGTTTTCAGTTCTGAAACTTACAAGATATTCTTTTAGTACGATGATCTCTTATATATCAAAAGCTCAAGTAAAAGTTGATTTCTCAATTCATGACCCCTTTTTTATAAATCGGTATGTTTGAACGAATCGGTTGAGTGAATGAATTGAATGACTCCCTCTTAAAGATGGTCAAAGATTGTCGCCACCTGCTGGTTAAATGTAATTTGCTGAAAGAACGTATCTGGAACGATTGGAATTTAACATATTTTAATATAGTTTTTATTCTCATAGTAAGAATTTAGCATATGTTAATATAGTTTTTGTTCTCATAGTAAGTGACTTGTAATCAGTAGTTTTACATTTTATCGTTGTGCCTAATTTGATTACGTCATTCACAATACTTTATGAGATAATAGTAGTTCAGTTTTTCAAATCTTTTATTTATTTATTTTTTTGCTTGAACTTTAACTATACTTCAAATTTACAAAGTTGTAAATACAAAAATATAACTTTGTCTCTGGTGCTTCTCTTAAAAAATGGACATTAATGAGCCAAATTTGTCAAATTTTAAGATATTGTTAAGATCTTTTGTTAAAGTTTAGAGAAGACGTGTAGTTTTTGATCGATACAGGTTTTTCTGTGCCTGATATTGCTATAGAAAGTGCTGTGTCTCTGAATTGCTGAAATGACAAAGCAAAGCAAGGTCTGAAAAACGTGAGATTTCAGCAAAAGCGTCAATTGCCTTTCCATTTAATCTGATTGCCGTTTAGGAGAAACAATTGATGTATTCAAGAGATCTCATTTGTGGTTTTCTTTCTGAAGAATGAATGTGGCATTCAGGATTTTTTAGTGCTTGCTACTATTGTAGATGTTGTAATTCCAGGCACTTTCTGGCAAAATGTTATTGTCACGATTGACATTATTTGTGCAGGAGAGCAATTAGTTCACTATTGATAATTAAGCAATCACATTAGCATAGAGGACTGAAAGATGAAGATTGTGTTGAATAATTTTGAGCTGATTTTTTTTTTCATATTGTTACTTTCAACTGGGAGGCAATTTCACTAAATGTCAAGCACCTCTTTTCTGTCATTTATGGCGCATAATTATAATTCTCATTATGGTGATGTAAAGCAAAAAGTACAAACATGCTTTTCCATAAGCGTTTTTGTGTACTTTGTTGTTTTTCCTCAGTACAATATAGCACAGCCTCAAGTGCCTAATTGCTTTGATTTAAAGGCTACTGCACAATAAAAATATAAGGGACAACAATAATGTTATGTTATGTTATGTTGTTGTTATGTTATGTTATGTTATATTGTTGTTATGTTATGTTATGTTATGTTATGTTATGCTATGCTATGCTATGCTATGCTATGCTATGCTATGCTATGCTATGCTATGCTATGCTATGCTATGCTATGCTATGCTATGCTATGCTATGCTATGCTATGCTATGCTATGCTATGCTATGCTATGCTATGCTATGCTATGTTATGTTATGTTATGTAAAACTGGCTGTAAATGTCCTCACCCCCAGGCCATCCAAAATGTAGATGAGTTTGTTTCTTCATGGGAACAGATTTGGAGAAATGTAGCACTGCATCAGTGTCTCAGCAATGGATGCTCTGCAGTGAATGGGTGCCGTCAGAATGAGAGTCCAAACAGCTGATAAAAACATCACAATAACCCACAAGTGATCCACACCACTCCAGACCATCAGTTAATGTCTTGTGCAGCAAAAACCTAAATTTTTGTTAGAAACAAATTCTTTAAGATCTCTTCAACTTCAAACCGCTGCTTCCAGCAAAAATACGATCCTTGCATATTTCTCTCCTGATTCAGACGAGACTACTTTTTTTACTGGAAGCAACTGTTTGAAGTTGCTTAATGATGGATTTGTTTCTTACAAACACGTAGCTTTTCACATCACAAGATGTTAACTGATGGACTGGAGTGGTGTTGGATTACTTGTGGATTATTGTGATGTTTTTATCAGCTGTTTGGACTCTCATTCTGACGGCACCCATTCACTGCAGAGGATCCTTTGGCGAGCAAGTGATGCAATGCTACATTTCTCCAAATCTGATGAGGAAACGAACTCAACTACATCTTTGATGACCTGAGGGTGAGGACATTTATTTTTGAAAATTGTCATTTTCAGGTGAACTGTTCCTTTATACTTGGTCTCTATGGGTGCAAATTACCCAATTTCCACAGGAGCATGTCCAGCATGCTTTACAACAACGTTTAATAAACACAGACAGTTACTGATTCTATCTTCTATGCTTGTCGTGCTAGATTTCCTTTTCCCCTTTAACGTAGCCCCAGGCTACCGTTTATCGCTAAACTGCATAAGACGTCTCGTTAGGTGATTGTGGCCTTGTCACACATGACATGGACGTGATTTGTGACCTGTAGCTAATGGCTGATGAAACGATGAGGGCTGATTCGGACTCGGATTGGCATACTCACTCTGTCCGCCCACTCGCTGGCCTTTCACCCACTCAGCACACTTATGTATCCACTTCTGCGCTCTGCTTTTCATGTGCTGGTCTCTCTCTATATCCTGCGGTTGGTTACTCAGACTTATTTCATCTCCTCTGCCTCATGTTCTCACAAAGGTCTTCTGATTCACCTGTTTTATTTGATTCTGCCATTTTGCATGAAACTGTTTGCTTAGTGCTGCATTGAAATAGGTTGCATGAACCCAGTCTGATTCCTTTATACTTTTTATATTGCTTCTCACTCGTATGAATGGCTTGCCATGTCGAACGCAGGAAAATGAAACTAAAAATAACCCTATAAAAGCCTTTAAATTATCAAGGTGATCCAATCTTTGTTGAAAAAGTCTACTGCATGCTTTCTGTCATCTGATTGATAGTTGATTTTTAGTTTAGACTTTTTTGTAAAAGCCTTCAGCTTGTGCTTCACGTGTCTTTTTGCTGTGAAAACTTAAGACTAAGTAAACATAAGAATAGCTTTGTAATATTTCAAGATGAACACTTACTGGACTGAAGCAGGTTTACTTGATTATCCATACATCCTTTTTTTTTTTTTTTTTTAAGAAAAATCATGAGTATCAAATATAATGATCAGGCTTTTGAGGAAATTGTATTTGTTCATCTGTCAATCATCACTGTATTGCATTGCATTATATCATTGTTTTGATCATAAAACTAAGCATTTAAATATCATCTTACTAAGACATTTTTATTGGAGATATAAAGTGAGGACTGATATTTATATCATTTTATGCAAGTATCTGCTATAAAGATCTCATTGATTTACATTACAGACTATCAGGAATTCATAGTTGATATCATTATCTGCACCAAATTACATATTTTTGCTCAGTTTGGGCCTCTGAATAAAACTTAGATGTTTATTTTTTATCATATGATACTATTACAAGCCATAAAAGCCTGATGTATCAAATACTAATACTCACCCAAAACACATACAAACTTTTATTTTATATATTTAACAAATTCTATCTCAATAAACTGTTCCATTTAAAAATAAATAAATAAAAATGTTATTTCTTTTGTCAGATTAAATTGCACTGCAAGAAACTTTGGATAAAAGCATCTGCTACTTACAGTACATGTCCATATGAGCTAAATATAAAAAATTTTGACCGTGTTTCTGTAACTAAAGTGCCATTTTAACCATTTATGCCCTTGCAGGAGTACCACGCTCAGCTGGAGGAAATGCGTGTGTCTATTCGTCAGCTGGAGGAGAACCTGTCCGCCGCTCGCCGCCGCAGTGACCTGTACGAATCCGAGCTGAAAGAGTCTCGCCAGACCAGCGATGAGCTCAAGAGGAAGGCTGTGGAATACCAGCAGAAGATTCAGAAGGTCTGTTCACGTTCTAAGCGAGAACCGTCCTGCTGATGCACTCTAGATGAGATGCGATCAGTCTATTTTTTCATTTTGCAGGCTAAAGAACAAGGCAAAGCTGAGATGGAAGAACTTCTGACTAAATTGCAGAAGGTACATCTGATATGACAACTCATTATTTCCATTTGCTGTCAGGAAGACCAGCATACAGTATTTCCTTCCTAACTAGTTTAACCAACAATACTCCCATGGTAAATGAACCAAATCGCCATGCTGATCAACCAGCACTAACCAGTCTGGAGCATAAATTCATGCTGTTTTTAAGTGCAGGAAAGCAAATTGCTAATGCAGCTGTTTTCGTATTTAAGCTTCTTTATTTGTAAATGTCTCAGACCAATGCAGAGCAGCAAGTAAAGATGGAAGAGCTCCAGGAGAAGCTTGCCAAGGTACTGTGCACATTTATTTCAAATTCAGCCCTGCTTGAAGAACTGAAACATGATTTGTTTGTTTAAAAAGTAATATTCAGTAATATTATTGATTTAACGGCATTGACGCTGTCAGTGAACTGAACTTTGCATAATAAAATTGATAATAACTTTGCAACATCAACACTGCTATTGAATCAACATTGAACTGACTTGAGCTGAATAATGACACTATTGTCTTTTGTAGAGATGCTTTATAGCTGAAATTAAATGTTTCATAATTGATGAATTTTATAACATAAGTACCTTTAAATTTCTCTAAATTTTCCTGTTTATTATTATGAAACTGCTTTGAAACAATGTTTATTGTGCAGAGCACTATATAGATAAATGTGTTTTGACTTATCATGGATCACACAGCAGTAGTTAGATGATAGATGACTTATGACCCCCCTGCCCCCCCCCCTCGTATTTTTACTGTAAATTTACAGTAATAAAACTTGCAGCTTTAGTTGCCACAAATTCACAGCAAAAATACAGTAACAGTGTTTCTGGAATCACAGAATGACATATTGCTGCCTACATATTTTATAACTTATAACCATATATTTTGTTAAGTGATATAATGTTAATATATAAAGCTACTTGAACTACCAAAATCTGCTTTTTACCGTAAAATGTAAAAAAAAAGTATGTTTTACAAGAATATACTATTTAATTTTTTCTCCTTCAAATGTTGTTTAATTTATATAATCATATGTCCTTTTACTGTTTGCACTGTTAATTATATGTAAATTTATAGTTTGTACTTTCAAAAACTATCATTTTGACTGTATTTCACTGTAGAATTACATTTAATGCCATGTTGAACCATTTACAGTTTTTCAGCGGATATGGTAACTTATAGTTAACCAATTAACCGGTCTTTTACAGTAGCATTTTTAGTCTTTTTCTGTACATTTTTTTTTACAACGCAGCTTCCCTCTCTCTCAGGCCGTGAAGGCGAGTACAGACGCCACTGAACTCCTGCAGAACATCCGTCAGGCTAAAGAACGTCTGGAGCGGGACCTGGAGCGTCTGCACACCAAAGAGGACTCCACCGACAGCCTGCGCAGACGCCTGCGAGACACTGAGGTGACCTATGACTCCACTGACACACTGCATGGCTTCTTCAGACACTTTCACTGTCTGAATGAATTAAAATGGCTTTATTTACAAATATCATGATTATGATTAGATCAGATTCAACTTTATTGTCATTGCACAAAGAATAAGCAGGAAACAATTCCTGTAGCTCAAACAGTAGATTATAAGTGATCAAATAAAGTGTAGACATTGAATGCAGTGTTACTTGCTTAGGATAAAAGCATCTGCCAAATGCATGAATATTAATGCAAATGTAAACAGCATAATTAACCCATTGTAATCCATTTTTGTTGACATTTAGCCTCAAGCTCACAGCTTGTTGATGACTATTCTGATGTGATTTTCCATTTCAAATATTTCAAAATATTTTCTTACTTAGTTTTGTTGTCTTGTTTTCTAATACAAATATCTAAACATTTTAAAATCAAGACATACTTACTTAAGAAAAATTACATTAGATTTTTAGTCTTAATGTTTTAAAAAAAAAAAATCGGCCAATGGGGGTGATAAAAATATTATTGTTTTCCCTTTTAATAAAGTTTATTTTTATTATCCCATTTAAGCATGAACTTAATTTTAATAAATTTTTCGGAAAACAAGACGTCATATCAAGTAATTTTGCATCTCAAGAAAATGTATATTGATGAGAGAATGTTTAGACATTTGTACTGCAAAACAAGACACAAATACTAAATAAGAAAATAATTTTTACAGAGTATTTAGTCATGGTTTTTTGGATAAAAAAATGCTTAAAAGCAGAAAGAATATCTGCCAGTGGGGTAATAAAAATAATCTCGTTTTCCCTTTGAACTAATTTTATTTTGCTTACCCCATTGGCAGATATTTTTTCTTGTTTTAAGCATAAACTCACTTAATTTGAATACATGTTTCAGGAAACAAGACTTAATATCTTAAAGGGGTCATATGATGCGATTTCATTTTTTCCTTTCTCTTTGGAGTGTTACAAGCTCTTGGTGCATAAAGAAGATCTGTAAAGTTGCAAAGACTAAAGTCTCAAATCCAAAGAGATATTCTTTATAAAAGTTAAGAGTCAACCACGCCTACCTAAAACGGCTCGTTCTAACACGCCCCCACATGTCTAGGTCACAATGTGGGAAGATTTGCATAACGCCGCCCAAATGTTCACGCAAAGAAAGAAGGCGTAACTTTTATTCTCGCTGTAGTTTTGTTGCCGCCGCCACCATGTTGTGAAGGCACTGTGTTTCGTTGTGAAAGCGAAACTACTTTGTTTGGTCTTCCAAAAGAGGACACGACTAGAAATCAGTGGTTAAGTTGTATTTACAACACTGTTCCAGAACAGTTCAACCCAAATATTCAGATGTGTGCAGCACATTTTATGGAGGACTGTTTCCTGATCCTGGGAGAGTAGACTACAATGCCGGTGTTCTGACTCACAGACTGTAAGTACGTTTTCATATAAAGGATTTGCCACTGATGATTCAAACGTGAGTTTTGAGCAGTGTAGAGTAGCGCTTGTTGTTTGTCATTTCTCCGATCACAAATGCAGACATGGTTTTATGGTTTACGTGGCGCGATGCAATGGTTGACTGTACTGATTCCCCAGGTTGACCAGCACTAACCAGAAATTCAAGCTGGTCTGTTCATTAGTGAACTAAAGTTCTGCTTTGAATTATGGTGTCTAATTTGACTCTGTTTTATGTAGACGATCAATGCCATGGAGTCAAAGATGACCAGTCTGGAGCAGAGGATCACAGAGCTGTCCGAGGCCAACAAACTGGCAGCCAACAGCAGCATTTACACGCAGAAAAACATGTGAGTTTACATGCATGAACATACAGACCTGAGCTGATTCAGTGATGGATGGAAATCATTTGCAGTAGCCTACAATTAGACTAACACACTATATTACTCGACTGAAGAGATGTTTGTTTGGATTATTTTTAGTAACATTAATTCTTAATTTAATTTTGATTTTTTTCATATTGCGGTTGACTGTTGTTGTTATGTAAAAGCAATTAGCCATTCTGCTTCATGCTGTGCCACATAATGTCAAGAAATACACAGTAAAACACATTTGTTTGGATATGGCATTCTTTGCAAATACATTTTGCAAAGTATATACATTGGGGAAAAAAAGTATTTAGTCAGCCACCAATTGTGCAAGTTCTCCCACTTAAAAAGATGAGAGAGGCCTGTAATTTTCATCATAGGTATACCTCAACTATGAGAGACAAAATGAGAAAAAAAAATCCAGAAAATCACATTGTAGGATTTTTAAAGAATTTATTTGCAAATTATGGTGGAAAATAAGTATTTGGTCAATAACAAAATTTCATCTCAATACTTTGTTATATACACTTTGTTGGCAATGACAGAGGTCAAACGTTTGCTGTAAGTCTTCACAAGGTTTTCACACACAGTTGCTGGTATTTTGGCCCATTCCTCAAGAGCAGTAATGTTTTGGGGCTGTCGCTGGCGAACCCGGATTTTCAACTCCCTCCAAAGATTTTCTATGGGGTTGAGATCTGGAGACTGGCTAGGCCACTCCAGGACCTTGAAATGCTTCTTACGAAGCCACTCCTTCGTTGCCCGGGCAGTGTGTTTGGGATCATTGTCATGCTGAAAGACCCAGCCACATTTCATCTTCAATGCCCCTGCTGATGGAAGGAGGTTTTCACTCAAAATCTCACAATACATGGCCCCATTCATTCTATCATTTACACGGATCAGTCGTCCTGGTCCCTTTGCAGAAAAACAGCCCCAAAGCATGATGTTTCCACCCCCATGCTTCACAGTAGGTATGGTGTTCTTTGGATGCAACTCAGCATTCTTTCTCCTCCAAACACGACAAGTTGAGTTTTTACCAAAAAGTTATATTTTGGTTTCATCTGACCATATGACATTCTCCCAATCCTCTTCTGGGTCATCCAAATGCTCTCTAGCAAACTTTAGACGGGCCTGGACATGTACTGGCTTAAGCAGGGGGACACGTCTGTCACTGCAGGATTTGAGTCCCTGGCGGCGCAGTGTGTTACTGATGGTAGCCTTTGTTACTTTGGTCCCAGCTCTCTGCAGGTCATTCACTAGGTCCCTCCGTGTGGTTCTGGGATTTTTGCTCACAGTTCTTGTGATCATTTTGACCCCACGGGGTGAGATCTTGCGTGGAGCCCCAGATCGAGGGAGATTATCAGTGGTCTTGTGTGTCTTCCATTTTCTAATAATTGCTCCCACAGTTGATTTCTTCACACCAAGCTGCTTACCTATTGCAGATTTAGTCTTCCCAGCCTGGTGCAGGTCTACAATTTTGTTTCTGGTGTCCTTTGACAGCTCTTTGGTCTTGGCCATGGTGGAGTTTGGAGTGTGACTGTTTGAGGTTGTGGACAGGTGTCTTTTATACTGATAACGAGTTCAAACAGATGCCATTAATACAGGTAACCAGTGGAGGACAGAGGAGCCTCTTAAAGAAGAAGTTACAGGTCTGTGAGAGCCAGAAATCTTGCTTGTTTGTAGGTGACCAAATACTTATTTTACCGAGGAATTTACCAATTAATTCTTTAAAAATCCTACAATGTGATTTTCTGGATTTTTTTTTTCTCATTTTGTCTCTCATAGTTGAGGTATACCTATGATGAAAATTACAGGCCTCTCTCATCTTTTTAAGTGGGAGAACTTGCACAATTGGTGGCTGACTAAATACTTTTTTGCTGCTAACAAAAATAAGAAGAAACAAAACTAACTATTTAAATAAACTATGATCATATGTAATATTGTGAAGGGTCTTCTGGGAATGTCCTTTTATTATATTATAAGTTATAGTGTGTAAAATAAAGTAAAATATATTTTAAATTTTTTAAATTGAAATAACAAATATTTTTAATTGAAATAACAAATAAAATAAAAATAAAACACATTTTCAAAATATACTTATAGTCACTTTACTGTAGTACCAACACAGGACTTTTTTGCAAGGGTATTTTGGCTTATTGTTTTATGCTTCCATGTAATATTAGTATTAAGTATTTTCATAGTCAGTTTGAACCATGGATATTTGGGTGTGAAGTGTGTTTGGTGAATGTAAAGGTTAATTTCAGGCTAATGTGCCATGATAGCAGATTTTCAGGGTTAAGCACAAAGTTAATGAACGATGACCTGGTGTATTTGCATTATATCAAGGCTTTCATAAGAGCTTCATATCATCCCTGTTGAAAAATCAGCAGAATTTGTAACCAGTATATGTGATTTAGATGCTGTTCCCACCAGACTAGCTTAACCATCATGGTTAACTAGCTCTACCAGGTTTTAGAAACTCAAATGAATTGCGAGATGTTAAACCAAAACGCAGCTTCAACTTGACAATTTATTTTTTCACAAACTCTCAAAGTCTTGTTTGTAATCTTTAGGAACGCCCAAGAGGAGATGATATCTGAGCTCAGGCAGCAGAAGTTTTATCTGGAATCTCAGGCTGGAAAACTGGAGGCCCAGAATGCAAAGCTGGAGGAACATCTGGAGAAACTGACACAACAAGAGCAGACTAACAAGAGCAGAGTGCTGGAGCTGGAGGCCAGACTGCGAGAGGTGAGTGATGGCCAAGACCATCATATGACGATGATCAGACCGTTTGATGAACCATATTTCACCCCGAAAGAATCAAAAGCAATGAATATGAAGTTGAAAACAGTTGTGCTGCTTCATACTTTTGTGGGAACATTGATACATTTTTTCAGGATTCTTTGATGAATAGAAAGTTCAAGAGAACAGCATTTATTTAGAATTTTTTTTTACTTTATAAATGTCTTTAAAGTCACCTTTGATCAATTGAATGCATCCTTGCTGAATAAAAGTACAAATAACAACAAAAACCGTACTGACCCCAAACTTTTGATCATTTCTTGTTTTATATAGTTTTTTTTTTCAGTTCATTTAAATAGCCCAGCAGATATTCCATGTGGGTCTCTTAATTAATATGAGCCTGTGATTAATATGATTATTATAAAATAAATATGACTGTACTCTCTTAAAAATAAAGGTGCTTCAAAAGGTTCTTCAAGCGATGCCATAGAAGAACCATTTTTGGTTCCACAAAGAACCATTCAGTCAAAGGTTCTTTAAAGAAGCATCTCTTTCTTACCTTTTTATAATCTGAAGAACCTTCTTTCGCTACAAAGAAGCTTTTGTGAAACAGAAAGGTTCTTCAGATGTTAAAGGTTCTTTATGGAACCATTTAGACAAAAAGGTTCTTCTATGGCATCGTGAAGCACCTTTATTTTTAAGAGTGTAAGCCATGAATATATTAATGCTATAAACATTAACATCCTGAATTTTTGTAAAGCTGCTTTGTATTATGTAAAATGCTATACAAATTCAATTGACTTGATGCACTCAGGGAGAATTCTGAATCATGTTTCACCCCAAAATCAACAGAAATAAATAAATAAATTACATTTTACATGAAGAAAAAATGAACTATTCGAAAACTATATGTTCTAAAACTATTTAGAACTCTTAAGATTTTTTTTTTCATCATGGCATTATTTTCAAATTCTCATCACTGAAGAAAATCTGCCTTTAATTTATTGATTTAAGTAAAAAAAATCATTGTAATATGGCAACAATTGTTTTTGCACAAGCTAAAGTTTCAAAGTAGCTTCTGAAGGAGCAATAGTCGATATCATCCACCATATTGCAGACTCCACGCATCTCCTTTATATCGTTCAATCGTAATGAGTAATCGTGTGTTTCTGTCTAATCTCTCAGTGGACCATTGTGTTCCTCGTCTTCACAGTGCTGTAAACATCTTCCCACGCTCCTCTGCGGTATAAGCGAGGGCTGTGGCGCTCCGTTTCAATGCAGCTTTGACACGGTTTCATCCTCGCGCCCCGCCGCTCTCATGCATGACATCACACCTGTCATGGCACTCGAGTTCATTTCACAGCGCTGCTGCTATCTGCTCAAATGCACTTTACTGCAGAACTCCACGCAGCACTCTGGCAGAGTGCGCACTTCTTGCAAACATGGCCATTTTCACTCTCATTTTGTTTCTTTTTTTTTAGGCCCATCGGGATGAAATCCAACGCAAGTTTGATGCCCTTCGAGACAGCTGTGCGGTATGCAAATGAGCTTTTCTCTGTATTTGACTCATTAAATGTGACCCACACAAGTCCTACCTGTACAGATAGAATGTGTGGATGGTGCAGTTTCCATAAGCAGCATCTGAGTCCAAACTAAATCCATAAATAAAGCTTTTTTCACCAATATCATGATTTTAGCTTAAAACAATGTACACTACCGTTCAAAAGTTTAGGGGGTGGTAAGATTTTAAAAATATTATTGAAAACAGATCTTTTATGCTCACCAAGGCTGCATTTAATTGATCAAGTATACAGTAAAAACAGTAATAATGTGAAATATTTGTACAATTTAAAGTAAGTGTATTTTATTTGAAAATATATTAAAATGTAATTTATTGCCGTGATGCAAAGCTGAATTTTCAGCATCATTACTCCAGTCTTCAGTGTCACATGATCTTCAGAAATCAGTATAATATGCTGCTCAAAAAACAATTCTTATTATTATCAATGTTGAAAACAGTTGTGCTGCTTCATATTTTTGTTAAAACCATTTTTTTCAGGATTTTTAGATGAATAAAAGTTAAAAAGAACAGCTTTTATTTGAAATAGAAATCTTTTGTAACATTATGATAAAAAAAAAAAACTTATTGGCCCCAAACTTTTGAATGGTAGTCTGAAGGCTAAAGTGTGTCTTTTGGATCAGTAACTGGATCTTCTTTTTTCAGTTCATTTAAATAGCCCAGCAGGGTGACAAATAATCTCTTAATTAAAAGGAGCTCATAAAAATGGCATGTGCTCTGACATTTATAAAATAATTAGAAAAGTATTGTTTAAAATAGTTTTAGATGAAGAATAGCATGTCACACCGCTCTTACAGTTTAATAAATCATGTCAAGCAACACTGTTACCATGATATGGGAAAACTTTTTTCAAAAGCATCTGTTTTCAGGCATCCTGAAAGTTGTTCACCCAGCAGTCATTGATTTGGGGAACGTTGCGTTGCCCCTGGAGTGCGTTTCATTATTATCAAGCACAGAGCATCTCTGCCCTACTTTCACTGTCCACCCACGCTCAAGCTGTTTGAGCGTCTCCACCGATGCAATATTCACACCCGGTCCCAGCGCTGTTTTTAGACGCTCATCTTCTCCTCTGTGCCGAGGAGTTATATTACATTTTTCCTTCATCATACTCCTTTGCAATCATAACTGGAGCTTAGATGAACGTATAAACTTGAAAACGAGAATTTCATTGTCTTATTAGAATGAAAACATAGGGGCTTGTGTTTATAAGCATGTAAGGCAAGTCAAGCATCACTGTTACTATTGCTCATACTTATGGTTTAGGGTTTGTATAGAGCTCTAGTAATAGTTATTCTCAGTGTCTGAAGCCTCGCTGTCAGTCTCAGTGAGTTCTGCTGATGGTGGACTACAGACAGACAGACAGACAGACAGGAGAGCGGCGTCTGCTCCTCGATCTGTCTTTCGTAAGCTCTTATAATCCCAGCCTCTGGTGACGGCTTCTTTCCTCTAAACACACTTTGATCTTCTCAATTTTGGAGATGTACTATGAATAGTAAGGGTATAAAATAACAGTTTTCCAATGCATTTTATTTTAATAATTACATGCATAATAAAAGCCAGTACAACACTAAAAGCAATGCTAGGGTGTTGTGTGGTTGCCAAAATGTTTTTAGTTTTTCTTGATCAGATGGCACAAAATTTTCATATTTTTGAAATTTCATCTGAATATCAGAATTTGTGAGATTTAGTCATTTGAATGTTTTGAGGTTAATGTTTTTCTAGAAAACGCTCTTTGACATTTGAATATCAAAGTTTTTTTGGGTCTGTTTACTAATGTGGGCACATTCATGTTTTTAGATTTGTGGAGTGAAAAATATTGTTTTGATTTTTAATGAAAAGATCAATTAGACCTAGAAGGCCCCAAGTGGCATCTTGACACTTATGTTATTATTTATTTAATACTTAATGTAATTCATTGGGTTTTTCATTTTAGACATCTATAGGATAATGGAGTGAAATCATTCAATTTGAAATAAATTTGACTATTTGTAATTAAATATGAGAAATTAAATATGTATGTATTCATATTCCTTTACATAAGTCATATAATACATGTACCTTTCAGATGAATCTCTTTTACTGGGATTCTGCTTTGTCTGACATTGGTTATTCAATTATTTAAATAAATTGGAAAAAATAGAACAGTTTATTTAGTATTTTACTTTAATGGCACTTATAATGGTATAATATAAGAATATAAGATAATGTAAGATAAAAATACAAGAAAAATATTAAGTAACTCATACGATCTGTGAAATTTAGTGAGGTAAGATGGCCTCTTTAAATAATTTTACATTTTGTGCAATGAGAACTAAATTATGGAAGCATATAGGTAGCAAAATTCAAATGCAATATTCAAAATGACAACGCAATTTTCAAAATGACGATGTATTTCTGTATTTAAATTTACATTTTCCATTACCCACACGTGCAAAATTTGTTGCAAAATGAAAATGAAAATTAAATTATATAATTTACATTTGCCATTTCCAACAGTAGTCTTAATATGTAAACTGAATACAAATTTTAACGCTTTATAAGTTGCATAAGTTACACTGTATTTAAATTTACATTTTCCATTACCCACACGTGCAAAATTTGTTGCAAAATGAAAATGAAAATTAAATTATATAATTTACATTTGCCATTTCCAACAGTAGTCTTAATATGTAAACTGAATACAAATTTTAACGCTTTATAAGTTGCATAAGTTACATATAAGTAAAATATATAACACAAATTGATTTGATATGTATAACATGTTCAAGCAGAAATGGTAGCAAAATGATCATTTAAATGCTATTTGTCCTAAATGCATTTAGACTAACAGTTAGAACACTTCAGATTGCATTTTCATCATGACGCCGTGGGATATTTGTAGCAAAATTCAGTGCGGCTTTGAAAATGCATTCCGAGCTGACCACGTCCACCCTCCATCAATCATTGCTTCAAGGCGGGGATTGGCGGAAGCGTGTTACGTTTGGATCGTACGAAACATGGCGGCTGGAGATCTGATAAGATCGTTGAATTCACTGGCAGATGAAGTATCCAGGAACATGTTGAAGAGATGAATTGTAATGCTTGTAATGTCCATTTATAGTCTTTACACAGCAGCTTGGCTC